GGTATACGATTAAACACATTTAAAAGCACGTGCCGTGGAACCCAAAGCCGAGCCAAACTTTCCCAAAACTCATCATTTACTCTTGGCACTTTAAGATATACTTTAAAACTAGGTAGGCATTTGGTATATTGTTGTTCAAGGCTTACCGGTTTTGCCCAGAAAGCTGAAATTTGGAGAAAAAGTTGATTTTGGAGCAGTAAAAACGCCAGTCGAATGACCTCAAAATACTAACAGCCAATGGGAATACGGTCATAGGAACAGCTGTTCTCCAAACGACTGCCTTGAAGAGGTCCTCACGTTTTACTAAACAATCTCTGAAATGAACAGCAAAGTACACGCAGAGTGTATTAACATTCGTCTCATTTCCCGCTCTGTTGATAATGAAATCATAGGCAAGGAATGCAGGTGAACTATTAGGAAGACATGAACGCAACCTAGCAGAAACCAAAGCAAGCGAGTCCACGGAGGACAGGGGCATTCAGCATTAGGCTCACAAAGTTACTTCCTGGGTCAGAATTTTAAACAAAAAAGAGAAACAGAACCGCCCATCACAATGCACAGAAAGCAACCACCACCGGCCCCCGCACAGGCACCTGGCGAGGCGCCCAGAGGGAAGCACGGAGAGGGCCGGTCCCTCGAGAGGTGGGAGTCCCCAGACAGGAGGGAGGAGAGACAGCCGCGATCCCCTGACAGTCTCTCATCACGCCCGGCCAAAGCGCAGCGACACACGGGCGTGCAATTAACCCCAACCGGGCGCAGCTCGGCTCGGAGGCCGGAGGCCGGGCCAGGCGTGGAGGCGCGGGCAGGGCTGCAGTCAACCCGCTCGCGCCCTGCCGGCCTCGCCGCCCCACAGCCCGCGCCCCCGCCCGGCCCAACCGTCGCCGTCCCGCCGGTCCGGCGGCCGAAACACAGGCCAAAGGGGCATGCGTCTGCCTCCCGCCCAGGCGCAGGCCGAGCACCGGCGGCCCTCCTCACCGAGCCCGCGTCCCTCTCACCGAGCCCGCGTCCCTCTTCCCCGAGCCCGCGTCCCTCTCACCGAGCCCGCGTCCCTCTTCCCCGAGCCCGCGCCCCCGACTGCGGACGGCAGCGCGAAGCGGGAATGTCCACACAGCGATGGGGTGTCCCGGGCGCTGCAAGTGCGCGTGCGCACGGCCCCCGCCCCGGCTGCAGCCCCGAACGGCCGTACCGCGCCCGCCTCTAGTTTACGTCTGTTCGCAGCACCAGGCAAGGGGAGGAGACTGAGCCGGCTTTTGATTGGACAGCAGGAAGAAATGGGGCGGGGAGAAGCCCAGTGATTGGTGGGGACCGCGCGTTCCTGGATTTGAAGCGAGGAAGCCGCGCGCCCTGCGCGTCCGGGGAAGGAGGAGGAGGAGGAGCCGGAGCTCTGCGCCGGCTGGGACCCGGGGGCTGCTCCCGTTGGCGCCGCCTTCAAGGTCTTGGCGAATTTGAAAATAATGCTTACTTTATTCAGTTTGGGGCTCCAGGGCACCGCCAGTCACTCTATGGGCAAAGAAGTATTCCCCGCCAACAAATCCCCCCGATAGGTTTCGTCCTTCCGTGGGCAGATGCAGACCTTCCTGTTGGTAGACCTGAGAGGCGTCGGGTTTCACCTTCAACCAGTTAATTCCTCGGGATCCAAGTCTCATGACAGTTCGCCACATCTAGTCGCCTCTCTGTGACACAGTAGGCTTTGTCTCGATTGGGAAAAAGTGAGGTGAGGCATAATTTGTCCCTAAGTAGCTTCCTACTTTTGTCCATCCTTCTTAGGCCACAAATCCCATCCCCGCCATCTGCTCGGCACAAGCCCTTAACTACTACACTGCTTCACTGAGACCACGCCTTTCACTCAAAATGTATCTCAGTCTTTTTCAGTAAGGTCCCTTATCTCAAAATTCATTCCATATAGTCACAGAAGGAAAAGAGTCCCTCTTTTCCAAAGCTAACCCCTTAACTTCATTCAAGTTACTGAAAGATGCCCCGCGCACTTTGGAGGAGAGAATAGGGAAAATGCAAAGTTTAGAAGTCCCTAGACCTGAGGTTAGCTCGGTGGGGAAAGACGTCTGTTTACTTGACCGCTTTCTACCTCCTGCAAACATGGCTCAGCTGTCATTCTTGTATATCCTCGCCATTGTTTTCCTTCTCTCTGCCTACAAAAATGCAGCACCTCTCTATCCAAACACATTCACCACACATGCCACACACACCACTCACATCAAACACACCACACACAGCCACACACACCCACATACAACCCCACACACGCATACACACCACATCCATACACAACACACACCCACGTACACCCCCCCCCCGACACACACACACAAGACACACATCATCCACACACCACACCCCTTCCTTGATTCTGTTTCATCACCTAATGACCATTCTTGGCTCCTTCCCTTAGTGGTCTCCACTTTTTTTTCCATGGAGGAAATCAGGCTTCCACTTTTTACACCTGATTTTGACGCATTTCATGGTGTCTATAGCTGGGTCCTGAAAACTTTAACATTTATCAGGAATAGACTCCTAATTGTCAAACTCAGTGATTATCTCCACAGTTCTTTACACCTCTTCTTGGAACCCTGCAGCCTTGGTATTTGCAAAGAGTAATTACTTTATTCTACCTTTGTCCACACTCAATGAGCAAAGATGAATGCAGAAAATCTCAAGATTTTCTGAATCCCAAAAAAGTAAGCCAAATGCTTCGTTAGCCCTAGAGCTGAAAGGGTATACTGGAGTGTAATGAGCCACATTTCACATTTCTTTCTCAGAGTATCTTAACCTCTTTCTACAAAGCGGTCACACATTGGAAGTGAACTGCCTAAATATGTCTACATGTTCCAGACTGTCACTCACACCAAATCCTTAAAAAATGTCCTTCCTCCATAAATATCCTCAAGTCACCAAAGCACTCCGCACAACACTCAGCAACCTGATAGGACTCTATTGACAGAGATCTCTGATTCAGTCTCGGCAGCAAGACAGCCTGGACTCTGACGCCAGGCTGCCTGGATCTGAATCCTGGCTCTCCCTCCCTCTTCCAAACTGTGCAGCCTTGGGCAAGTAACTTTAACCTGCTGGTATCCTTGTCTGTAAAAAGGGGATAAAGCGTTTGCCTCAGAGGCTTACTGTGAGGATTTAAAGCTACTCCTGTAAGGTATCTAGAGAAGTACTGGCTCATGGAAATACTCAGCAAACATTAGCTATTATCTTATACCTCAGGATCTCACCTCAGTGCCGACTGGAGAGGAGGAACAGAACTCCCACGGTGATTTCCAAATCTCTTTAGACGCTGAGTAGAGCCTGCAGAGGCCCCATGACCAGGGTGCCTCCCAGGGAATTAGAAGTGAGGCCTATCCAGTTTTAAGTTGACATCTCTCAGCTCCCCTTTTACCTGCTTAAAGTGGTATGCCTCAGCCACCAATACCCAAAACCTTCTCCCATGTAACCACAAGGTATGATTCCAGATTAACGTCCCACTAGTTTCCTAAATGAACCAGACTGTTACTTATATCCTGTTCTGTAAACATACCCCTACCCTCTTTTACCTATTGAAATCAGACATCCCTTCCAAATTCTGCCAGCTCAAATAACTTCTCTCTTTTATGCCTACTATACAATTTCTACCATTATTATAAAGCCGAACCCATTACCTTTGGTAAATTCTAGAAATGCCTTCTCCCACGAGTGTAAGTTTGTGTGCAGACTACCTTTCTATTTTTTTACATACCCCAGTGTTTGGCACAGTATCTTGCACATGGTAGATGCTCAGGATTCACTACATTAAATTGGAGAATGGTCTCAATTTCATTATCCCATTCTTACCCCAGGTACCTCTATGACTGAAAGCTCAAAGACATGCCTTCTCATTCTGAGTTAGATTCAGCATTAAGATTTCTTGTTTGATCCTCCATAAGGCTACAAGCCTAGCAAGTCAATTAACCAGAGGAAGACCTTTGAGAATTATCTGAAAGAGATATTTACATAGAAATGCTAACCTTAGAGACAAAACACTTTGATGATTAGACAATAAAACTCCAATGTTCCTTAAACTAAAATGAATAGGCTAGGTGAGGTGGTTCACGCCTATAATCCCAGCACTTTGGGAGGCCAAGGTGGGATGACGGATTGAGCCTAGGAGTTTGAGACAGCCTGGGCAAAAAGTGAGACCCCTCACTACGAAAAATTTTAAAAAAAAATAGCCAGGCCATGGTGGCGTGCACCTGCGGTCCAAGCTACTCAAGAGACTGAGGTCGGGGGATCGCCTGAGCCCGGGAGTTCAAGGCTGCAGTAAGCCATGATCATGCCACTACACTCTAGCCTGGGCAACAGTGTGAGACCCTGTCTTAAAAACTAAAAAAATAAATAAAATGAATAGCTCTTAATCCTTTGCATATTAAGAAGTACTAGAGATATGACAGTATTCAAGGAAAGGTGTCTTTAAAAATTAGAATAGTTATAACAATTATGTCACCTATGTGATTACCTCATAAGACACATGAAATACTGTTCAGAGCACCTCTGTCTCTCTAGCTCTGATAAGAGGTTAAACCCTTGACAATTCCTGACAGAAATGAACCAACAAGCATATTACTAGTTTTAACCATTTTATCACAATTTCTATCAAGTACATTCTCATCTTAAAATATTTTAGAAAATATTCTAATGTTGACTAACTAGGTTGAAAGTCAACATCTGTGCATTCTAAATGTTAGTCTACATACTGACTTTCTACCTTTTAAATAAATGTAATATTTTTGCTCACATCTCCTAATTTTTGTTTGGGTTTTTTGTGAGATAGTGAAAGGAGAGTAAGCCTTAGCAACTATCTTAAATAAAATACATTCTGTTTTTATAAGGCAAGAGATTTGTGTATTTTACAATATATTTTATTACATAACCTACTTGGATAATAATTACAAAAGCTTTAAACAGTAATTCCAAGTAGTGAAAGGCAATTTCCTTTAAAAAAAAAAAAAAAGACCAAAAAGTCCACATTGGGTTTTGCTGCTTTATACACAGGAATGATTTATTTTACATACTAGTCAGTTGCAACATTAGCCTGTAAAATGAAATCCATTTTCTAAGGTCTCAAAGACAGAATCAGCTTCGTAAGAATATGCTTTCACATTAGCCAGTCTGATAAAGGATAAACAACTTAAGACTATGGGAACAGTTCAAAATAAAATTTACAAAACAGGCACTTTGAAGTCAGCTACTGTGTAACTTCACAGTTAACGTTACTTGGACATATCTCATTTCATCAAAGGTTGTCACCCAGTGAAGCCAACGTTCCTTTGATGGAGACGCACAAACAGATTTAGGTTCGAAACACCGTATTCCAGTTGTAATACATGCAAGACAGACCCTAAGTTAGAAAAATCTTCTGAAAGAAAGTGAAGAAAAACAAAAAGCAGCCAGAAATGAAAGCATTTACAAGCACTTGAATAAGGCCTTTCAATGTTAAATCAGTGTTTTAAACCCCTTCATTCTCAGGTAAGGGATTAAGAGGCCGAGAGAGATATCGTCTGCGAGGGTGAGGATACTGGAGGTTGGCAGTGTCAGCATCGCAAGAGTGCTCTACCAGAGGAGGAGGAGGAGGAGGAAGGAGCTGGGCATAACTGGACCATCTCGATCCAGCCCGTGGGGAATCCAGAGGGGGAAAGAAATACCTGAAACAATGAAGACAGGAACAAAACACCAAACAAAACAAAAACAGGGGGAAAAAAAAAAAAAAAACACAAGAAAAAGAGAAAAGTAGTAAATACAGAGAGAACCAAAGAGGAGAAAACACATGCTAGAAAAAAAAAAAAAAAAAGCTTTAGTATATTCATGCCAAAACTAACAGAACATAATAGCACAAATCAAGACCCTTACTCAAATCAAGATTGCTTAAGCAAGTATAGAAACTTGAAAAGAATACAATCTGTTAAACTTAAAATGTCAAAAAAAATCAATATGTTACAAAGAAAAACATTAATTTTATAAATTCAAAACACTTTCTAATCTCTCAGAAACATCTGATGCTATTCTGTACATTTACAAATCTAATAAGCTTTTTCTCTTAAGCAATGGTTCACTCACAAGAGCAGCAAGCACACATTTTTTTTAGTGCATACATGATACTGGGAACACACACAGTATGGCTGGCTACTGCAACATGCGTTTGAACAACTACAAACACTGAACACTTATTTTTCTGCAAAAGCCTTAGGATAGCTACCAAATTTTGAGAAGTGAAAGGACTCACAAAATGACCGTGCCCTACTGTTACTCTTCTTCCATTTTGTAACTTACCCGTAACACTTACACATTTTAGCAAGCTTAAATATTTATAGCTTTGTTATCAAGGTCAGAGCTTTACAGGATATGAACTAATTTAAACAGCCAACTAAATTAAGAAAATCTTGAGACGTGGAATGCTGACATTAATTTACATGCACAATTTTAGTAAAATTTTAATGGCTTCTCTTAATAGTGTGTGTCCAAATTTTGATTTGAAGGAAACTAACCCATGGAATAAATAACACCATAAAAATATACAAATGTATATAAGAAACATTTATCTCTTTAGTGACTATGAATTAAAAACTTATAAAAAAGTGTTTCCATCTTACTTCCAAATTGTAAATGAAACAATACCAAATGCTTAACCTGGCTACAACTGTACAGTCAAGTTCCTTCATTTTACTATTACTACTTTACTAATTCACTCCTTTACTAATATTCTTTAAATACTACAAGGAAATGACAGAGTTGTACTGAATGTCATGTATAAAGCAGTTCTACAAAAAGTAAATCACTCAAAACAATCTTTATAAAAAATATTTATTCAATCTTCAAATTAAAATTATAAAAGTTCATTTTAAGCTGTTTTAAGAAAGCAAAAGAAATATGTCTATATTTTCCAAATGAAATAAAGTGATATTTCCCCTCCTCCCAACTACTTAGATAAGAATGGTAACAACGCTTTTAATCTTTAAACCCAAATTAGTTTCAGGAATATTTCAAAAAATTGTTTTGGTGACAATGTCTCAACAGAAAGCCTCTCCATTTATATTTCAAAAGTTTCAAATAGTGTCAATAAACTGACTAGTACAAAAAAATATACACTGTATTTTTAAAGGCCTTTAGGATTGCGTTTAGTAGTAAGCAGGCTGCTGGTGTATCTTGGGAGAGGTCAAACGGCGCTGGGGAAGGGGAAAAGGAGCTCGCTTTCCATTCCTGTGTGCATGCAACAAGCAGCAAAACAGCAAAGTTACTCCAGTTAGCTTGTACTCAGCTGTGCTTTCTGTTAAAGGACATAATACAAATGGAAAAGGGAAATGCATCACAGATCTAACACAGATGGTTATCGGCACAATAAGAATACAGATCAAAAAACAGAAGCTATTTACAAAAGAAAATACGCAGTACAGGCAGTGACCAAGAACCAGCCTTAAAAAATCAACTCTACTTATTTGTTTCATGAAATAATCTTTATAATCTGGTATCTTCCACGGTAACCTGAAATCGTTTTGATGCACATACTTAAAACCTCGAAATCAAAAGCAGGACTTCTTTATAAAAACATAATATAAAAATAGTTGAAATTTTAAATACAATTTTCTTATTTTATTTAGGATAACAACAGGATAACCACAGGACAGTCCATTAGGCTGTGTTTTGACGTTTCCTGAATTCTATTCCAAATTATTCACAAAGACATATTAAAATAATTTTATCTTACAAATTCACATATTTAAAATTTGAACATGAAAACAAAAGGATGACTCTTTAGATGACATCAAATATTCCTTATTATGATACACAAGAATGTAACATACGCTAACTATTCTAAAAATCAATCTCAGGTTTTATTATTTCCTCTTATTTCCATTAAACTTTAAACACAAAAGCCAAATAATTCTAAAAAGCCTTAATAAATGTATTTTATTTAAAATTGCAGTTTGACCTAACGCAAAGACCACACTACAAGCAGTGAAAAACACTAATGTTCATTTGGACTAAAACCCTCACTATTAAACCAGATAACCTTCCTCTCACTGTTGCAGAAGTGAAGTTGAATCTTAAACCTGTAACATTTCTACCGATAGACCACTAAAGCTTCAGAATATAATGTAATGACCTCATAACCTACCTGCAAATGTTATGACCAAGTAAGCCAAATACAGAGATAACGAAATGAACTCTTAAATGCTAATATAATCACGTGAACATTTCCACTCCATCTTATAATCCAGGAAATAATCCACCTTAAGTAGAGCTACCAGAATGATTTAAAACAAAGAGAATTTCCAGTTTTCCCATGAACAGCCTACCTGCCAGCAGAAGATCCATTTAATGAATTCTGAAGACTTGGAATATTTGAACCTAGGGAAGGATTTGAGTTTCCCTGCTGAGAACTCCCATTGACTGGGCTCCCATTACCTTTCAAAATACCAGTACACTTCCAATTGTCCATATAATTAGCTGAAAGGAAAATAATCAAATACATTAACATGATTAATACCAATGCCTAAGGGCACAAATCCGTACCCATGTCCTTAAACTACAATTAAAGAAATGAGGGAGAGGCTAGGGGCTACATTTCTTTCAGGATAAACATTAAAGACACTTTTTTTTTTTTTTTTTTTTGTGACGGAGTCTCGCTGTGTCGCCCAGGCTGGAGTGCAGTGGCCTGATCTCAGCTCACTGCAAGCTCCGCCTCCCGGGTTTTTACGGCATTCTCCTGCCTCAGCCTCCCGAGTAGCCGGGACTACAGGCGCCCGCCACCTCGCCCGGCTAGTTTTTCGTATTTTTTTAGTAGAGATGGGGTTTCACCGTGTTAGCCAGGATGGTCTTGAACTCCTGACCTCGTGATCCGCCCGTCTCGGCCTCCCAAAGTGCTGGGATTACAGGCTTGAGCCACCGCGCCCGGCCTTAAAGACACTTTTTAAATGGAAGACATATTGTCTTAGTTTTAACAAATTTTTAGAAGTTTTCAAAGTATCAATAACTTTAAAAATATAAAGCTTTCACCACCCATGTTACAGATAATAGCAGAGACAATTTTCTGAGCTACCATATTATCACATTATGAAATTAATATTAAAATCTCCATTATAATATTAAAATCTTCATTATAACGAATTTCACTTACATATGTAAGGTAATGAAATTGTCTTCTTAATTATGCAAGTATAAGTTATATGGGTACCTAATGTCTTCTGAAATGGATGTAGGTAAAAAACCTTTGGAGATTGAGTGGCTTATCCAAAATGGCCTTATTAGTTTGAATGCAAAATTGGTCTCTGAAGACAATAAGCCCAAGAAAATCAAGTTAGGCAGCCTGCTGGGGAGCATGGCAAGGTGGTCCTGACTAAAGCCCAGAGGCAGAAAAGGACAGCAAAGCCCTTGAAATCAAATTACACTGAAGAAAGGAAGGTCTGAGCTGGTTTTGCCAAAGCCCAAAATCGAACATGGGAGGACCTCAAGCTTACCCAAACTGCACTTTGGGAAACAGTAACTGCTAAAGAGTAAATAAACTAAGACAGCTATAATTTTGAATGCTAAGTATGGGACACCATTCATTATGGTGGTGCACAAATCACAGAAATCTCTGCCCAACAGATAATCATCCAAAAAGCAGTGCAGAACCACGCTACAGAGACCACAGTCAGTGTCAACTGTCCAGACCTTCTCACTCAGCCTGGCACTTATAAAAAACGTACAAGGCCGGGCGCGGTGGCTCAAGCCTGTAATCCCAGCACTTTGGGAGGCCAAGGTGGGATGACGGATTGAGCCTAGGAGTTTGAGACAGCCTGGGCAAAAAGTGAGACCCCTCTTATACCTCAGGATCTCACCTCAGTGCCGACTGGAGAGGAGGAACAGAACTCCCACGGTGATTTCCAAATCTCTTTAGACGCTGAGTAGAGCC